CAACTGGTTAGTCTCTAATTGTCATTTGTGCATACTTTGCGTAGTGCCTCTATATAGCTTTAAATCACAAGTATTGTAAGCAACGATGGATAGTGGCTAGCACGTTCATCCAGCTGACGAGTCCCAATTAGGACAAAACGCGCATCCTGAATTCCACTGCTATCCACTATCCATCTTTGCTTACCCTTACTTATGTTTTTATAAGAACAGTATCAGTTTGGTTATTCCAAAAGAATTTTAAAGATTTGTTTTTTTTTTCAAGTTTTCTTCCATATGTTTCTAGGGTGTGTTGTGATTTGACAAATTTTGCTTTTATCTAAATGAAATAATAATTATCATCTATTCAATATTAAACTTCCGGTCAATGAATAGTTTAGACTGATCCATAATCGAAATGGATTATAATAATCCTATGAATAAATTTCATGTAAATTATCTTAATGGTTAAAACCTTGATTAAAAGCATGTTAATGAAATATTTCTTAACCTTTTTAAAGTACACATAAATGTAATTGATCATATAAGAAAGTAGAGGTTAGATTAATTAAGTCATCATTAAATTAGATCATGTATTTTAGAAATGAAATTCTTCAATTTACTCTGAGTATGAATTTTATATGAGGTTTCATTTGTAGTATAATTTAGTATAAGTCACATTTCTACAAACTCCGCCTGTAGCTCCTCCGAGGGCTACTGCTGGCCCCAAGCCCGGATAAAGGAGGATGGTTGAGCATGGGGTTAGCGACCCCATCCCGCATTTCTACAGTTGGAGAACATATAGACTTCAAGATAACTGTCTCAATGTCAACATTAAAGTCACAATCTTCAAAACGAACGTCAAGGTATACAGTCCTAGTGTATGGGCCTGAAACTTCGAGAACTACTGCGACCATCATCGATAATCTACAAGTATTTCTAAACAATTATCTACCCAAGATACTCAATGTTCATTGACCGGATAACATCAGCAACAGTCTACTGTAGGAGAAAACAAACCAGCTTTCAATTGATGGGGGAATTCCGAAAAGACGTTGGCTGTAGATGGACGTACATTGGAGAAATAATCATACTGCATCACGAATCAAGTGCTACAATAGAATCCTGAAGGGAAACGGAAAAGTGGAAGAGCAAAGAACATAATACGATAAGAACAAGAAGCAGATATGAATCGGATGAATAACAAGTGGAAAGAACTGGAAAGGATTGGCCAAGACAGAATTGGATGGTGGAACGCTGGTGGTCAGCATTTACTCCTCCACGGGGGTTAACAGGCGTGAGTTAGTAATAATTTAATACAAAGAACAGAGACGTAAGCGAACAATTGTTTTCAATTAGACCGTCATCGGGCTTTACTCTAATATACATGAATATTTATACAAAAATGTTAAACCAATCAAGGCAGTTTGAGTCAATAATCACAATGAAGTAGAATACGTCACCGAGCATAGTAGTTAAAAATACAAGTTGATAGTGGGAAGATAGGTGTACTGATAGTAGTAAGAATATTAAATTACGATAACAAAAATCGTATTAATCGTTAGACATTGGAAATAGGAGGTTAAACGTGGGTAAATAGACTTGAAATAGTCATCATAAAACATCAAAATCATTACGTTATAAGAAGCATGTATATAAGTAGATAGTGAAGAATACAAACGGAAAGGGTCGAAAAAACTACACACAAATAACGGATGTGAAACTATGCTAGTAAATATTCACTCCTTCGTTGGTTAAGTTACCTAGTAGTAAGCCCGATATAAAAATCTCCACAGCAGCAGCTGAACTTGTAAATGCACATAGAGGCAAACTCAGGTAACTTATCCTTCATTTGAGAAGACATCACTGGTCGACTCGAGAAAGTCAAAGCAAGATTGGCTGCGTAGAATGTCCTGCTAATTACTTTCATTAACCTATCTTTCAGCTTACCACTAGCCACATCCCCGTTAAATTGTAGTTTCATACATAGATGTTACTTTGGAACTGTTAAAATCTCAGACTTCTATCTTGCATCATACATGTACTTCATAATGAACGTACTAGGGTAGTCGATCTCTGTCAGTGAGTTATTGATAAATTCCAGCTCCTGACTTAAAGTATCTACTGAATAGATCTTTTTTGCTCAACTAGTCAGGCATGTAACCAAATTTTTTTATATCGGATAGGTGTAATGCTATAGAAGTGAGTATATCGGCAGGTAGAGGGACGTTTTCTATACACACTTCTACTTAACGAGCCATTGTTCGCTTACACGTGTTGTTCTAATTTTCACAATGAGAATCTTTAATATTCAAAAAAAACGTATCTGTGAATTTTTAGAGCATCCATTTTTCAGTGTTCAATACATGTCCCATATCAAGAATATTCGGTTACTTTTTTTTTCATATTGTGAGAGAGATTCAGGTTCACGATAAATTACTCTCCTCTTTAAATTTCCGTTATTACAATTTTATTTTTAATAATCACTCCTTATTTGCTTGACATTTTTGTAACTGATTCTTATTACGGTTTGTCCCTTAGATAAATTTCGATAATGCAGTGAGATGGCGAACATAATGACGACTATGTAATGTATTAGCACAAGGTATTACAAATAATCTAATCACACATTTTCCTGTTAAGAAATTTATGGATAAAAATGAAAGCCAACCTACTTTGATAGTAGGATTTATGATCTAGTGATGTAAGTCACATTATTTTCCTTATCACGTTTGCCTTACTCTGATCGTTTTTATTTGTCGAATTGACCTCTATTTTTGGTAGATAATTTCTTTAACAAGTTAATGTTTGATAAGACTATTCGAATTATATTGCGCTACTATATCATGACAGTTCTTTTAATCTTTATTTTCTTATCGCATCATTCAAGTGAACTTAATTATATAAGAACTTTCTTCAGAGACAATAAATAGTCACTAAAAGTTCTGTGTAGGGGTTTAACTTCGTTAATCAGCCAACTTAATCACCGTTATTATGTAAATCCCAGCGGTGTTTGAAATCAGAAGGCAAAAAAAGGCGTAGACTACAGTTTATTGGCGGATAGAACGGATAACAAAGCTACAGGAACATCAGTCGAATTTGAAGCAGAGGCGAATTTATAGTCAAATCGAATAAATGCGCGTATAGGAAAGACAAAGTTTAACAATAGGATTCGTTGATATATATATACACGGGAAAGAGAATGATTCATCGAGTGATATTTAAGTGATTAACATTTTAGCTAGAGGGAGATATGTACGTAGGCTCTCATGTGATCAAGCGTACACGTCTATACAGATATAGTAGTGATCGTAATAGTACAAAAAATATAAGAATTGTTAACCATAATCGAAATTGATTGTAGGGTAGTTGCCATACCTTCTCACACAACTCAAATTCACTTACTAATACACACAACGTGTTATTTTAACACACTTTTCGTTACACATTACATGTCTTCTATGTACTACAGAAAATAATTACTTTAAACATTCTTAACATGATTAGATAACCTGTTAAGTATACAGTTAACCGGGTACTATGTACCTATCTATATTTCATAATTCTGTTGTTTGACTATACTTCCTTGAAAAATCTTGAACTAGATTATCGAGAGGAATGTTGGATTTACTTAAAATTAAATCACTGAGATTCTAAAAATATATTCTTCCTCCTAAGAAGGACCTGATAAGCATGAGATTGATCACCACCCAGTGATCAATCAATTGTGATTACATCTCAGTCCTACAGGAGGTTGGTCGCGGCCCGAATAGCTCAGTGGTAACGTCTCTGACTGTGAAGCTGAGTGACGCGAGATCGAATCCGTCAGGGAGCATCAGTTCCTTCAGGATTACAGGTACACCTTGCTGACGAGTGCCAAGTAGCACGAAACCCGGTTACAGGGTTTCCTGTTGACCACCTCCAACCACCATCTTACCTCAATATTCTTCCTCTTTAATCAACCTAATTAGTTTCATCAAGATAAAGCTTGATAAGTAGATGTGCAATCAGTTTATTCGAATTATACTGCGTAAATGCATCATATATTTCAGTTCTATTTCATCATCTCATTATAATATCGCAACTATTTTTGTTGTAATAAGGATTAAATCTTTATAATACTTAGTTTATCTTTCAAATAATCGTTATTCAAACATGATTGTTTGTCATTTGAATTTTACTTCATCAGTATAAGATTCGTTCAATTCCATTCAATATTTTTATCCAAATTATTAGATCTTAATAGATAATAATTTTTTTTATATGGCAAACTGATAGACAATGTGTCCCACCATGTAAGAGAAGGAAATATTTTGTATGTAAATAGAAATATAAATAAATTGCCAGTTATCATTCTGATGATTAGATAACTGTTAGTATACAAACATGTAACTACTGTGAGCATTAAGCAAGGTAAACGGAGAAAATGTCTTGTCTATTATTAGATATAATGACGCTAATCAATAAGCTTTAAGTAGACTAAATTATCTTATCGTTTTAAACTGTAAAACTAAGTTATATAATTGAATGTGAACTGCTGAGTAGTCCCACTATAGAACGAAACGGCCGTCCAGTGTTTCCAGGTTTTCCCTGGTGATCTAGCTTTCAACTGTGAAAATTCTAAATTTCCACAAAAACTCCTTCTGATAATAATAATAATAATAATAATATGCTCATTAGTAACTGAGTTCGAGAGGTCAATTCAGGAGTTCTAGTGAGAAGCAGTGACCAGTGAAGTTCAAACCACGTCTGTTGTGAGATAGGAACTCACTGAAGACGATTGGTGAACGGTTACTCAACTTCGTAGATTGATTGGAGTTAGACATAAACACCATCGGATTTCGGCTCAGTGGTCTATCGGTTAAGTGCATGGGTGCGAGACTGGTAGATCCTAGGTTCAAATCTCTCTTAGTGAGGTCGTGGATTCACAGTGCTGAGGAGTCTCACAATAGGACGAAACGACGGTCCAATACTTCCAGGTTTTCCATGGTGGTCTAGCTTCAATTGACTCACATTTTCAACTATGAAAATACTAAATCTTCACAAAAAACCCCTTCTGATACTAACTTATATAAATCTGTATTAATACTTTCTATTCATTTTTACATATATTATCAATGCTAACTTCATTTCCATATAAAGAAAAGTATGTTTATAAGAAATACGAATGAAGGGAAATATACAAATTATTAAAAAAAAAAGAATTGGAATAATACATTAAAGTTCAGTTACATCTGATCGTAAAGTAATTAACCGGACAGTAGGTTTTCTTGTATTATTATTATTATTAGTAGTAGTATTAGTTAATTTAATTTCCCAACATGGTGTAATGACATGTATAAAACTTCGACGAAATTTAGCACCCATTACACAATAAACAATAAAATTTACACTTGAATTAACTACAACTAAAAAATTACGTAATTCTGATAATGCACACCAACCATATGGTAATACTTTTGGTGATACAATACCAAAATAAATATTAAATATTAATGCTGGTAATTGACATGCTATAAATACACCGACAACAACAATAATCATACGTGTTATACTTTTATCTGCTTGTATTGCTAATCGTGTTGGACCATATAATGTTAATGGAGTTTTTAATGATTTACATGATTTACAATGATCACTTCGTTGAAATCTTATTAGAAATGGCTTAGTAATAGATTTGTTTGATATTGTAGACGTTTTTGTATATATATTGGAATTAACATCAACTATTGTATTGGTACTACTATGTGGAGTATTCAAGTATTGGGTTGATTGTAATGGTTTACATAGAGCAAAATCAGATCTACGTAATGCATACATTAAACGAATATTCATTACTAATAAGGCAATTAATGGTAATAGAAACATTACTAGTATATATCCCCATGTATAATATACAAGACGAAATATTGAATGCCAATCGTATTGTATTGAATATTGTGACAAATTGGATTCAGTTATATTTACAGATTGTGTTGTAATTTCAAACCATCTTGGTATATTATAAACAATTGCACATATCATACAACAGCATACAACTAAACGTGATTTTGGTACAGATGATAATACATTTGCATGTAATGGATAACATCCAGCAATATATCGTTCAACGGTTAAACTAACTGTAATCCATATTGCAGAAGTTTGTGCTGTTAATGCAATTGGATAAATGAAATGTGCTTGAATAAGTGCATAAATACGATGTGCTGTAGTGATATTATTGATTTTCGTATTATCAATTGTCTTGTTTACTAGTTTATTTAATGTACTAAAATAATCTTCTGTTGAGGAATTCTGCATATATGGTAAAAATGATGAATTCTCTTCTTCAGCAAAAGGATATTCAAAAAATAATACAACAGCACAAACCAATAGTAATATATCAAATACTGATAAACTGATTAAATAAATTGAAACTGGTGATTTCATACGTCGATTTCTTAATACAATAATCGATAGTACATTACCAATTATACCAAGAATGACAATAAATGGAGCAATATGTGTGTTGAGGAATCGTAAACATAGGCTGAAATAATGAAAATATTTATAAGAAACAATGTAATACTTAAATTCACTTAGTATTGTTTGTTACACAAGCAAGTGGCTATCAGGACTCAGTGGCCGAGTGGATAACGCGATGGCGTTTGAAGCAAGGGTACTGGGTTCGAGTCCTAGAGTGTAGATCAACTCTGAGATGCAGGTACATCCAGATGACGAGTCTGAAATAGGACGAAACGCGCGTTCTGGATTCCACTGCTAGCCACTATCTATCTTTGCTTACCAATGTAATACTTAGCTGGACGACATTAATTTGTTTATTATATTGAAAAGGATACTTATCTAAACAATGTTTCTTACATGGCAATCATACCTGAAAGTAAAATTGATGTTATGGTATAATTATTTCTTCAGTTTGACGTTTTAAACTCATGACAAGCAAAATATCAATAGTTATAGTTGCTATAGTGAATCATATCTGTTATAATACCTGTAAATCACATCGGCTACATGTCAATAATGCCAAAAATATTTCCATTACTTTAATTAATATTACGGTTTGAAATACAAAAGTGTTCCAGGCTGGGTAGAAATATTAATCTAATAATTTAGTAAACTAATTTCAACAAATACTTTTTTGAGTAAGTAGAGTATTCGAAATAAATGATCGTTTTGATAAATTTTCCATCAAGTTATGCAGTTATAAGTCCTAAAGGGATTATTAATATGTTGTATGTCACGCTCTAAATCTTAGGTTCTGGGTTAAACTCCCGTGTATGGGGTCGATGGCGAGTAATTTTGAGGGGTCTCACACTAGGATGAAACAGTTATTCATTGCTTTAAGGGTTTTATTGTTGGTCTAACACTGATGGATTCATGATTTCAATGAGACTTAATTATTTTCATAACCTTCTACTTACTACTATTATTTTGCAATAGACAAAACATTAAAGTCGATTTAATCCACGTTATAAATTGAAAGTGAAAAATATTGCGTCAACTAATCCTTAAGTACTACAAATTACTAACAAAGGAAAAGAGGAAGACTAAAGAACACATTACGTCGAGAAATGGAGACAGACATCAGAAGAATAAACAAAAATTGGATAGAACTAGAAAAGAAGGCCCAGGACAGAGTGGGTTGTAGAATACTGGTCGGCGGCCTATGCTCCATTGGGAGTAACAGGCGTAAGCAAGTAAGTATGTATAAATTACTAACAAAACAAACTCACATCATTGGTATTTTTAAATAAACGTTGTACATGACACATAAAAATATTAACTGCATTAAGGAGACCAGTTCTAATCAGCAAGTTAAAATGAAATGTTAAGACCGAATACAATATCGTTGTTGTAGATATTGTGATACTACTACTACTACCACTACTACTACTACTACTGTAGTGAACGAGAACATAGGCGACGAGAACCAAATGCAGAACATTACAGAATATCTTGGTAAAATCTGAGAATCCTACAAACAATAAATATTTATTTGTAAAAATATCCGCCTATGCTCCTCCACGAGGGGTAACAGGCGTAAGTTAATACAATAAATAATCTCAGACTTTGTTATTTCTTCATTTTCATGCCAATTACTCTCTGTTCTCATTCTTTTCTCTTCGATTTTATCAATTTTCTGCCTCCAGGCATTTCACTTTCGATTGATGATACATACTACTTATATCTATAAACATCCGTAGCACACACCACACAACTATCAACAGTCACACATAACAAAGACTTTTACATCATTTCGATATTTCCTAGCACTAATATAAAGTACCCGGTAATGATATCGTTTTTCAAATTAATCAGAATGTTATTGGTAGGAAACAAAAGGATGGTGTGTCAAAATACACCATGAAAATATAAATGACCATTTATCAATAGATTGAATTCTTTTTCTCTTTGTATAATTTATATGTTAATAGAAGGTATTGTTATTACTAAAATAGGAATTCAATAAATTAATGTTTTCTAAGACAGAGGAAATTTTAAATTATAATGACAATGGTAAAGAATAAAATGGGTTCTTTTCAAGTGCAAGTTATTAAAATTATATCATGACAACTAAATTATTGAAAGAGAAAATAATGACTGGAATATATTTGTGGTATCTTTAATAAAAAAAAAAATAAAAAAAATTAAAAAAATTGGCTAAAAGCGATTGGCATTTAGTAATTTTTTTTGTTTTAGTTTTTGTCTTATCCTTCATTTCAATATTTTGTAACGTTCAATGTGCATTGATGTCAGTCATTTTTATAAATTTATGAACAATATAAAACAAAGGAAAATCTTATAATGTGTCGATTGTAGCTAGACTACTATGGAAAACCTGAAAGCATTGGACGGCCGTTTTCTTCTATTGTGGGATTGCTCAACAGTGCTCACACACCATTCCACCTCACGAGATTCGAACTCCCTTCTAACAATGATTATATGCTCACTAGTGACTGGCTCAATGAGGTATTTCCTGGAGTTCTATTGAGAAGCAGTAATCAGTTGAGTTCAACCAGGTCTGCTGTGAGATGTCAATTCACTGAAGACAATGGTGGACGGTTGCTCAGTTTCCTGGATTGGTTGAAGTTAGACATTAATAACGTTGGGTGCCAGCTTAGTGATCTAAAGATTAAGCGTTCAGGCGCGAGGTTGATAGATCCTATATTCGAATCTCACGAGTTCGGGATAGTGGAGACGTCCCACAATAGGACGAAACGGCCATCCAGTGCTTCCAGGTTTTCTATGGTGGTCTAGCTTTAATTGACTAATGATTCCAACTATATAAAATTACTAAAATCCCCACAAATCCCCTTCTAATAAAATCTTATAATCTTTAATAATGATTTAGTTGAATGTGTAGGAAATATTGTAATGAACGAAAACACAGGTAGAAATGACTAAATGTTGGTTTACTCAATTGTTAAAGTTATTTGATAAGATGCGAAAACTATACAGCTAATTCTTTATTTGAAAAATGTCCATTAGTTGTCTGGGATATTATTGTTCCTTCATTTTTATACTAAGTACTGTCTGTTCTCATTCTCTTTTATTTGATCTCAACCTTCTACTGACAGAGTTTTTACTTTCGATTGATGTTACATATATATATATATATATATATATATATATTATTATTATTATTATTATTAGGTTTATTCAATATTATATTTTTGGTACAATATAGAATTCTCAGCACAAAGTACTTCAACAAGTTTCCGTTTCTTACTTCTTCGTCCTTCCTGATGATAAATATTGAGTGATCGTCAGTTAGAAGTTAGCAGCCCATACAATCGACATCTGGATAATGTACATTCTTCTCGCTGCATATTTCCAGCAACCACGATATCACTGATTAGGCCTTCTGTAACATTTACAGCGAAAGGTCTAACACTTTTCAGAAACGCACCTGAATAGGTTGTGCGATTAATAGTCATAATGATGTATTAAAACAAACGAAATTAGATAACTTGTTGAAATATCTAGATGACAGGAACAGGTAGCCCAGATGTTTCAACAAATATATATATATATATATATATATATATATATATATAATAAAAGTTGGTAATAGTATTTGCGTACATACATATTTGGGGAGGAGTATGCGTGGTCGAATAATACTACTACTAATAATACATTTTGGCTAGAGTGTCATGTGCTATAGTGACCATAACAGTACAAAGAAATATGCAAATTGCTACTATCCAAATGACGATGTCTGTTAAGTATATATATATATATAAGGAGACGTTTACGATGTTTCTGAACAGCTATTAGGGAATTCTAGGCATATATTGAGTAGCTGAATTCGTACGATCTGGTTGGTTTAGTTAGATACCCATAATATCAGAAAAGTCTATGTATTATTGACAAGAGAGTTTGATCATACTATGATCTATCATTCTATTTATTTATGTATCAACTAATAATGACTTCATATCATTTCAAGAGAAAAATTTATATCTTAATGATTAACAAAATGCGGAATCAATCGATACCATTTTTCAGCATAACTAACTTCCTATTTATTTGCCTTTTGTACAACCAAAGTTTATTCAAGTAATCCTATTTTAATTAGTACATTTTGTAATGATTATTTATGAATTATATGCTTTAACCGTTATAATACTTAAGAATTCTCTTTGTGAATAAATGAGTTCGATCAGCTGATGTTTATTATTTTGATCTGTCACATTGATCAGCATATCACAAACATTCAGGTCTATGGCTTCTTGTAGGATGATGAATGTTAAAAAATTATTCTATACTTGTATAGATAATCACCATTTAATATAATTATGTATAATATGAATACATTGTTTGCGACTTAATAATCTTATATCATTTATTGTGGTTTCATGATTTATTACCCGAGTTTATAGAAGTGTGGAAAGTCTAACTCATATGAAACTGAATATTAGATTGTGAATGAGATCATGAACCGATCAATGTTAGACCACCATTGAAATTCTAGAATGAGACTCATCGTATGTGCACAACTACAATCCTACACACGTGATTCAAACTCAGGACCTTCGGTCTAGTATGTGAATGCTTAATCTCTAGACCACTAACCATTATGGTTAGTTTGACTATTTATTTTAGATACATGCAAACACAAATAGAAAAACTCGGGATTCAACAAATTCCAGTAGTTTTATCAAACTATCTTTATACTGTTGATTGAATTTAGACATAACGACCATTGAATTCTGATCCGTAATTAAACAGTAATTTGCTCACCTCAAGAACCTAAAATCATTAATTCGATGTCTGTCTTCGAGTTGAGTGTAACTTGTCGAGGAGTCCCAAACTCAATCGAAACAGCCATCTTAAAATTCTCGCTTTATGATGATTCTCTTATTAAAATCAGTCTGTAAAACTTACTCTCTCCAAACGTTGGCTTCACAATAAGATCATAGTTACAGATGACAGTCAAACGATAAAACATTATAGCTCTTTAAAACAGAATATACGGAATCAAGCATGGGTTTTAAGCAAAAACAAACACAAATGTAACGTAAT